AATGTGTGCAGCCAACTAAATTATTTTTTTTATTTGCTTGTAGATTATCTGTTCAGATAATTTATGAGCATTTTGATGGGTACACCCTTGATAAGTAATTGCTCTCCTTGTTAATGGTTTCTTTTTAAAGGAGAGACCAAAATATGATTAAATAGATGCTTTTTCCAATAACTGTCTGATTCTGTGAAAATCAAGCAGCAAAAGTGTATACAACTCCTCACTTCATTAAATTAATTGGTGAGTTGTGTAAGCAGATTTTTGCCTTGCTAAAACAGTCAACTTACTAAATGAGACCTATCAGCTGCTTCAAGGGTAGGGGTAGAACAGTGTTTTATAAAAATATATTGGAATTAAGTTGATGAGTGTCCTGAGTACAAGCTCTTACTTACAAAACCAGATGTCATCTTTGACAAATAGTTTTACTCTCTTTTTACATACAGTTAAGGTTGTATTAAATTGTTTTTATGAGGGAATCTACATTATGGATTAGGAGAATGTAGCACATGCACATCTTCTTGCTATGTAATCTGTGTTTTAAGATGCTTCTTTATTCAGGAATAAGTATCTCATATATTTGCTGTGCTAATTTAGTTCATAGTAAGTCACACATGCATAGGTTTCACTTTCCTCAAAAATCTAATTTTTTTAGGTTTCATATACTGCCTTGAAAAATGAAGTTCTCCTGTTTGGGGCACACATAGTGATTGTTTATATTCTATTTACTATCAAAATTAAGATAATAAAATGGATTTTTAAGTCCCGATACCTTGTTTGGCTTTGAAGGTGTTGGTTAGGATGATCCTGGTTTGTATAATAGTAGCTTAAAACAACATCTGGGAGAGAGGTCAGTGCTTCATAGTGTATGTGTGTATATGACAGAGAAGCAATAGGTTATTGTGAATTTACCTTGGTCTATTGAAAAGCTGCTTTAAAACAGTCCCTGTTTGGTATATAAAAGGGATAAACTAGCAAAAATATCACTTATTTCACAGTTGTTTTCTGTGGAACATAGCTTGCCATTGCCCTACCTTTCTGTCTGTTGAGATAGTCTGATGTATTTTTAATTATTCTGTTCTGACATGTTTTCTTACGTGTTCCTTTTGTAAGGTCTGGAAGCCTTTGTTAATAAAGGAAGAAAGAGCTATTAAATGATTTTTCTTGTCTGATGAAATCTTAAATAGCTGTATGGAATGGAATTAGATCAGGAATCCTGCTAGAGCAGTGATATTTATGGCTGTATTCATGTTTGTAATTTATTTTGAGAACAATTACAGTTCTGATGCCTTTTTTTGATCAAGTCTTGAAAAGATAAGCAAGTTTAGTACAATGAATTGCAGAAATATGTCTTGTATACAGACCTTTATCCCTGTAAATAGAGAAGAGGGGTATGCTTGCCATTTGCTGAAAAAAGAAAAACCTTGAAGCTTTTTCTAATGGTTGCTTAAAAGTAATGTCTCTTAATCAGGCTTGGTTTCAAAATGAGGAGCCCTCATCAGTTTTTAATGAACTGCAGTAAAACAGAGCTCCCACCTTTTCACCTCCCAGTGAGTGCTGGGCTGAGGGCACAGTTGTGGTCGTATGGTGCTACCTGATTAAAGTTTGAACTAAAATATAGTAATGCTACACTGGGAGCTGCTGGATGAAGATTATTTTCAGAAGTATAAGTACTCTCTACAAGAAAGCACTTTAAATAGTGCCACTCGCACGTCGTCTCAGCCACTCGCTCCTTCCCACAAAAGGAAGTCCACATCTAAATTAAGAACCAGATCATGACGTAATCTGCAGAAAGTTTCTTTCTGCCCTTGATTCTGCTGTGGGCTGGAGTTAGGGAAGCTGCAGGACAACTGTCCGCTGGCTGATCCAGCTCGAGTTAATATATTTCACTTTCATGTTGCTCAGTTGCATTTATATACTGGGAAGGGAATGTTTTATCATGTGCATAGTTTGAGATAATAATTTGGAAGCACAATATTTACACAAGTAGTAGTAGGGAGTTGGTTTTGTTTATTTCTCAGGACCATGAAGTACAAAAGTAATAGTGACACTGGATTAAAAAGAAAAACTATTAAGTTTGATTTCTAAATATTTGCTGGTGTTATGTAACCTGGTATTAAAACACAAACATGTCTTTGCAAGGTGGTGGCTGTTTGTGTTTAAACCATTTCCTCTGAAAGCAATGGCCAGTTTTATTTAATCGTAGAATCCTGTTGTATTCTGTTACAGTTAACTACATTGAGCACAATAATGTTGAAAAGATTATCAAAGATAATAACTATGAAATACTGCATGAATGTTTTATATAAAAATACTTGTCCTCTATTTAAAATTTCTCTCTTCTGCTGCTTGCAATACTTCTTACATGCTGATAGTGACATATCCTTGTTTTCTTCATATTTTTGCTAGGTGATCTTATCAACTCCAACACTAGGCTTTGCGTTGGTCTTCAAAATAAATATATGTAGAGTCCTGAATAGTCTGAATCCCAACAGTTTGACATGCATTTCTCACAAACCTTGCATTTCTGAAAGTTGGCATATATTGGCCAAATACAGTCAGTCCTGGAGGAAACACTTATCCTAATATAGATGCACGTATGTATGTAAATGCAGGCAAGTAAAAATAGTAGGTAAACATTTAAAAAATGTATAATACAAAGTCTTTTCACAAGAGGGACTACATGAAGATGGGATTAGTCATGGAGATTCGAAAATTGCTGGATGCATAATGTTAGGGTAGATCAAGTAATGAACAGTGTGAATACCTCAGTACTGTTCTATTACTTCTCTGTGCACAGTTGAACAACATGCCATGGAAATGAAAAGATTCTAAAAGCTAAAATGTCAAGCCTTTTATTATATCCATAAACTAAAGAATGTCAATAAAATACTGAAACTAGTATGTTATCTATTATTTATACAACTTTCTGCAGTGACAGCTTTCTGCAGCAAACTGCTGTAACCAGTAACGCTCAGCCTGAACACTGTGTTTAATAAAGCAGATAATAACCTAAACGTAAGGGTAGGTTTAAAAAAAAAAAAAAAGGTCTTACGAATGTTATTTAAAATTGTAGGCGAAGTACATATCTAGCCTAGGCTATTTTAAAGACAGATGGAAATAGTGGGGCTTTTAACTGTAAGAAAAGTTACGATGCTGTCTAGTATCACATTTAAGTTAGTAATCACTGTTGCTTGTACATGAAGGAAATACATGTAATTATTTTTTTAATTCTGTTTTGCTGTATTTGCCAACTAAAATTGATGTAAATGTTTATATTCATTATTTCCTTTTGCAATTACTAATGCTAAGACCTAGATTAATATTTTTCTAAGCACTTATATATTTCTAGGCATTATATCCCTCTAAGTTTAAATGAAACTAAAGCACAGTTAGGAAGTCAGCCATGTAGGCAAGCAATGCTGCTTTGATTCTTCAGTAGACCTAGAATTCCAAAGAATATACTAAAATTAAATGTAGAAGTGATCCTCTGGAAAAAGATATCATTGTTGTTGACATTTAGTGTATGTGTGGAAGCAGAATTACACATTTGCAGTGCAAACACAATATCCAGTAACTTTAATAATTCCAAAAACAGTGAGTTACTAAAACCTTGGAGAATACATTCCTGACTTTTTATCAGAGATGCTGATATTTGATATGTCTTATTCAATCATTGAAATTATCACTAGAGATTATTTTTTAAAATGGCAGTACCTTAAACATCAGATGAATAGTGTTGTTTTTACTTGTTTCTACTACTCTGCATCTAACTTAATGACAACAAGTGAAGTAGTCAATTACGTTTGTAGGGGTAATAGTGACATTTATAGTAGAACCATCTAGTTTACAAACTTGCAGATAACCAAGGAGTGGTACAAGCAGTTTATAAGTTCAGGTCTTGAGTTTCCGTTGTGGGGTTTTTTTCTGGTCAGGCCTGAGATGGCTCCCTGCATTGCCTCCAAAGCCACTGTATCCTGTTGACCTAAAGATACTGCTCTTCTGAGTGTCTTGAATCCACTTGTTTTTCAACAGTGCTCAGATATATTGGGCAAAGTGACACCCTCTTAAATATGAGCAAGTTTCTCACTGTTTGCATTACAGAGTAAATCGGTCACAGGAATGGTCTGATTTTTCCCAATGTGGCTCAGTCATTGAAAGGCACAACACAACATTTTTTCCAGAATTAAGATTTGGTTTTTTGACAATGAGGAATCTTGACTTCTTTTCCTCATTTTGGAAGAATATTACCTAGCTGTCCAAGAACCTTCTGCTGTGTTTTCATCGTCTGTTATCTCAGTGTTTGTCCAGCTTGCCACTGTTCCCACCAACTTGTTGACCTTGTTCCTCAGTATTACTTTTCTTATTGCTATGTCCCTGCAGCCAGTGCCTCAGACCTCTAATGCCTGTAGCCAGTGTTAGTCAAACCCTTTCTCTTTTACTGTCCAAGCTGCTGAAGTACATAGGAACAACACTTTTAATGTGAGCAATGGGAGTGTGTGCAGGAAAAATTGTCTTCTGATAATGTATGGACTTAGCTGTTGAACTTTTAACCAGCTTTTTGAGTATGTGAAATCTTAGTTTAGGTCATTCAAGTTTAATAAATTAATCAATTAAAATCAGTTGCTTATAATGGAAGGTCTTAGCAAATCGAAGGTGTAGGTGTGAACATCAGGACTGTGCATGATATGACAAGTTATTTCTCAATGTCATAGCCAAATGTGTAGTTTCACAGCTGTTTTTTGAGTCTGTGTGGGTTCAGCAGTCACGCACGTTGCACAAATTAGAATTTTTATAAAATATTTCATAATGAGCCTTCCATCTTGCAAATACTAAGATTTTTTTTAAAGCATATTCCATAATTTTTGCTAATCAGCTCAGCAGCAGCAGTTTCCTTCTTAGGGGGTGAGGGAGAAGAAAGGGAGCTTTATCTGAGCTCGTCTTTACAGCTTCAATACAGTGTTTTACTGACATTTATGGTGTGCTGATTTTTCTCTCCCTTTCAGAAGAGAAACCTGATTGCTCCAAGGCCCGCTGTGAAGTCCAGTTTTCTCCTCGCTGTCCGGAAGATTCCATCTTGATTGAAGGCTATGCTCCTCCTGGTGAATGCTGTCCGCTCCCAAGCCGTTGCGTGTGTAATCCTGCAGGCTGCTTGAGGAAGGTTTGCCAGCCTGGTTATTTGAATATATTGGTTTCAAAGGCATCAGGAAAGCCAGGCGAATGCTGTGATCTCTATGAATGTAAACCAGGTAAAACTGGAACCGATTTTTCAATTTTTTAATATCTGAGAAGCACAAAACATATATAATCGCATCTGCTAAAGCCTATATAGTGTCTAAATTCTTCCGACTCTTCTTCAAAATTAAAATGACTTTATGTGGACAATACCCATTTAAAAAAAAATAAGAAATATTAAGATAAGTGTTACTTTATTTTTCCTTCAGACGTTAATTTAAACTGAGCAACAAGGAAAAAAATCCTCGTGAGAATATTGCATTTCTGTGGATACTACTAGTGAAAGTGACATACTTTATATACTGATTAGATTATACAAAGTTTTTTCATAGAAGGAATATATTGTGGATGGGTAGGGAATTAAGGTTTCTGTCTGAAGATTTCTATGGATTACAAAGTGATGCCTCTTAAAAACTGGAGAGCAAAAAGGATTGTGGAGGAGCATAGTGAAAGACTTTACAATAATTTCAGTATTTACCCATTTTCTATTTCATGAGAACATGAATCACCTTTTCTTGTGATTTATTATTCTCAGTGAAGTGGAAGATGTAATTCGCTCTTCTTTTTGATCTAGGCTTTGGTAAAAATGAATAATAAAAAGAGGAATGAAAGCAGGCATGTAAAATTGTATAATCCCAAATCTTATGTGCAAACAGATTCAAGTATGCTTAAGCTGTGCCTTTCCTATGCTTGTTTAACATTTTCTTAAAGCCTTCACAGAAGAAGATTGTACGGTTTTTGTATCTTCTAGTGCTTCTCTTTGTGTTTTTCCTAATATCCAGTGCAAATATGTCTGTGTGGAAATTTAGGCAGACTTTTTTGTTCTATGTCCTGAGTACTTGATGAACAAGTCTTTATTATAATTTTTGCTCTGGAACATTTTGTCAACCTTAGTCTTCTTTCGTCCAGAATTGGCTGTAATTTCTTATGGCATAGTTTCCTTGAGCTCCTTCCTTGTTTTGTTGCCCCTCTATAAGTTTTCGTTAGTTTTATCCATGTCTTTAAAATGAGATGTCCAAAACAGACTACTATTTTCGCTGAGTCTTCATCACTAAACACTGTAGAACAATTATTTTCTGTCCTTTGTGCAAAATTCTAAATAAGTGCTGACTCTTATGTGAGAGTTACACCTAGTTTGTAAAATGCTATGATACCAAGGTCTTTCTGTAGCATGACTGCTACTGAACTACCTTATTTGTACATTTTAATTGTTTCTATATGTACTTCAAGCATGCTTTTGATGACTTATATCATGCCGACTTTGGATTATTTCTTTACTTGCCAAAATATTAGCTCTGATCATGTCCTCCCAGCTACTACCTGCATTCCCATCTTGTAGTTTGCAAGTAACTCAGTCTATACTTATCTTTGTAGGTTACTTTTTGAAACTTGTTTTCAACTCATTAGTATTACAGAATCTTCAAGTCGAATACATGATTATTTATTGCATTAGTGGACTTATGTAACTGTGTGTATGTTGTTTTCTGAAGTAGGGAGTTAAGAGGTGAAGGTACGTGGGACTGGAAAAATGAAGGTGCATGTTGGGAGGGTGGAAGAGCAGAGGCTTTGAAGAGATTGGTAAAGGAGACTAACAATTTAAGGGAAGTGTAGAGCTTTTCAATGGGGATTAGAAATTAAGAGGCTAAGAGAAAGCAGAGAGTTCTCCCCTATCTTGGGAGATGATGAAAGTTTGTGTCTTAGGAAGCGATTAAGAGGCTGACAAGTCTAGGTGAGTACTCTTGTACATCCCCACAGTAACAGCTGATGAAAGATTTAAAGGCTAAACTGGAAACTACAGAGTAAGTGGGGTCCCTACTTCTTGTAGTGCCTTGGCTTTAGGGAAAAAAAGGGAGTGCTATTACTATGGAACTCAGCCAGGTCACTACATAACCTTATTTTTGTTAAGTTAGACTTCAGTGGCTGTCCAAGTTGACTTTTCTAAGTTTGCTCTAGATGTTTCTTTCATTTGCCATTTGACATAGTAGGAAGATCGGAAAGAAAAAGCAAGCCAACACTTTCCCTGGAAGACAGGGAAAGGAGTAGATGGATGTTGACAAATCTTATTAGACTACAAATCACTTTACCACAGAAGGCTTCTTTTTAGATTTGCAAAGATTTGTTATTAAACTTTTCTCAGTTTTCAAAGAATGTAAACTGTACTCCTATAGACAACATAGTTTGTACTTGATATATGTAAAGAAAATTAGAGACTAAACAAATACTGAATTTTTTAATGTTTCCCTTCTTATAGAAAGTTTAGGGATTTTATATTTACATTTTCAAGTCAGCATGAACCTTGCTGTCTTTCATCTAAACTGTTCCATCATTTTCACCATTGTCTGTTGTTTAAAATAAATGTTTTTGTTTAAGAGCAGGATATGTAATATCTTGTTTCATTAGGATTGTATATTCATAGGCTTATAGAATTATAGAATAATTTATGTAGTAGCATATGACTGGTTTTGTGTATGTATGAACACTGTGTGAATTATCTGTGTGGATTTGCTGAAATAGTGGTCATAAAGTGTAGTCAGATAATGCTTCTTAGATGACAGGAATATTTATTCCGCCCATGGTAAGCCCGGTAATAAACCTTGCATTTTCAGAGTTTTACTTGGTACCCTGAAGAATTGTAGGAAAGAAGAGTTGGAGAGGCACTGAACTAGCAGTGCTTTGTTCTATGTTCCTTCTGTTTTTAGTGCCGTGTTGCTGAAAAAGGGACAATGGACAGTGTAAGGCCTGGTAGATAAGTGTTCATGCAGTTTCTTGTGGGTCTGCTGTCACTAGTTTTACTGAATAGTGTCAGCACATCCAGCGTAGTTTACATGTTGAACAGAGAAAACTGTTCCGTACTTTGCCACAAACCTAAAAACTTCATTTCTATGAGTGCTGCTACCAGAGTGCTTCTTCCTGCATCTCCATGTCTGCTTAACCAGCCTCCATAGTGATTTTGCACCAGCAAGGGCTTTTCTGGTGGAAGCAAATTGCCAGAAGCTGGGAGGGCTGCTTCCTATGATAGCAGTGCTGCCTTATGCCAGTATAAAGTGTTTGCGCAATTAAAGCATAAATTGTGTTTATTTTTGTTCCCTAAATAAGATGTCACTACTCTCCAGTTTACAGTGGCATTTGAGTTTGGAACCTTCTGCTGAGAACTGCATCTGTTCAGATACTGTGATTGAAAACTGAGTTACTGAAAAGAAAATAGAAAGTGTTTCCTTAACATTAAATTTAGAATAAAATTTTAAAATTTCATTTTGAGATCCACTTCCTCTTCTACCACTTTTACTTTTGGAATACAATGATTAGAGGCATTGGCATTCAGTTAAAATTAACCTTAGTAGTTTAGTCATACCTGCCTGTTAACCTCCAGACTAATTTGTCTTAAAAGTTCTTACCTGTTGCTCCACCACAAGCATCTCACTACACTTGTGGTACCTACTGAGAACTGTCATGTCCCTTTTGTTTTTCTGCAGTTGGTAAACTCAGAGGTGAGATAACAGTGGTCTGGTGCCATAACCAACGTACTTTGTTCCTACAGGCTGTGCATAACTGGTCATCCATGAGCAGTGAATTTACTGAATGAGCACAGAATTTAGTTTTAGACTGGGAGTTAAAATTCTTAAAAAATAATCGCAAAAATAAGTTGTTTTGTTGTTTTTTTTTTCTTAAGGATAGTTTGAATGAATGGTTTCAAATGGAGCTGCATAATGTGTTAACAGTAAAAATAAAAACAACTTGAGACAAGATTTGTAGGAGTGTATGTGCTTCTTTTGCTAAGAAACTAAAGCAGTATGAGCCATGGTGTTTTAAAATCATGTTTGTTTTTTTAAAGATGGAGTTAAAATCTAATCTAAAAGCTATTTTCCAGAAGTTGTGATAGGAACTCTAGCTGCCACTTCTGAATAAAGATGAACAGTTTATTTTGGCAGTTATTCGACAGGTGTGTGTTTATCTTTATTGATAACTTTTTGTTTGGTTGTTATATATGTTGAAGTGGGTAGTATCATCTCTTAGTTTCTGATATCCTTGGAAAAGCATTAGGAAATGTCATGCTAAAGAGAACCTCTGTTGGAAAGACGCCAATTTGTCATTCTTCTAGAAGTCTTTCTGGCAGAACTTTCATTCAGTCACCTTCTCTAACACCCCCCACATGGCCTGAAAATAGCTCTTACTGAAACGGAGTTTTTTCTTGGATTAAACACAATTGTAAAGAGAATGTTATTCTTTGACTTATTCCTTTGGGAAATTCTATGCAGTCAGGGCTTGATGGAAAGTCTGAGATCAGTAGCAAAATTTAGTAGGTAGTGTGTAATGCACAGAGAAGTAGCTTGTGCTCCACCCTGGTATGGCTTCAGCAGTGAAAACGAGGTCAGGAATTTTTGCAGTCTTGCACAAGACTTAGCAAAATCAAGTTTTTATACATAATTGATAGAAATAGAATTTTATATATATATATATTTATTTTTTTTTTTAATTCTCTGTTGCTTACAGAAACAGTACGTGTTTTGCTGGGTGCTTTGTTAGAAGCTGATGTTGAGAGAACTTAAGACATGAGACTGGGAAAGCTCTGGAGAAAATGAGTCGGGAAGAATTACAGATACATTTCTAATGGAGCTGGAGAAATGGTTTATAAGTTGACAATGTTTGTGAGGAAAGAGGAAAAAAAAAAATCAGTAAATGCAGGGGTCCATGTTGGGAAATACCTGTGATAGGAGAGTTAAGGAAGTGATTCAGACTGGGATACAACTGCATTGAAGGTCCAGGAACACCATCTGTTCTAGTTGTATTTAATACATTCTGAAGTATGAAGGAATGTAAAATGGATGATGCATTGTCATGGAAAGATACTTTAATCTCCCAGAGTGAAAGTGTAACTACTGTTATCAGATGTCATCATATTGCATTGTGCTGTTCATGAGGAACCAGTTGAAATGCATGAAAGCAAAGGGTGTTATGTGCTGCTTTTTATCTGCTGTAGAAGCAGACTGTTTACCCTTGTTCAGGACCCTCAGAAAGCTGTGACTTCTGAAAAAATACAGTCTTTCTTGTGCTGAGCTACTGTATTGCATCAGAGATAAAAATACTACCTTGATCCTGCATAGGCAGCTATTTAAGTCTTGTCCCTAAACTGTACATTCTATTCGTTGAAAAAGTCAGCATAATATGTAAAAGTGAAACTTAATATACTTCTGTTAACGTATGCTACTATAAAATTCTTTTCACTTAGTTATTAATAGTTTCATGATTAGAGACCTTTGGTTTTGTGGTCTACGAAGGAGGTTGCATATTACTACAGCTCTGTTAGGGTCTGCAATGATGGTAGGGTTTCTGCTACATTCTCATAGAAAGATTAATAACTCTCAGATGCCATTGTATAAAGTTCAGTGCATGAGAAGGTTCCTGGAGACTTGTAAGCAAATGGTGATCAGGTTCATCTTCACTGATAGGAAATTGCAACATGTTTATGAGTTCTTGAAGATATGTGTCTGTCAAGCTGTATATTTCAAGCTTAAAGCTTATAGGATAGACAAAAATGATGAGCGTTACATTTTTTTTTAGCTTGTAATAAAATGTATAATAACAGCTTATAATAAACCTGTTCATGAAAAGTATACACTGCAGTTATTGGAATCTATGTAAGAAACAGCAGTTCACTGGCAAATGTTTGAAGTCTTATTTTTTAGGACACTATACAGCTAATCTGAGGGACATCTCAAAGTAATGAAGAATCTGATTATAGACTGTTCTGTAACCTTAAAATATTTTCAGTTTCTCTGGAAGTTTGGCTCAGTACTTTTCCAGTTTGAGAAACCCGTTTAAATCTGAAAAAAAAAAAAAAAAAAAGTAGGAACTTTTTCCCTTCTTCAAATATCTTTCATTTCTTATCTCTCTTCATCTCTCTCCAGTGAGGAAAGGCTGAAAGAGCTGGGACTGTTCAGCCTGGAGAGCAGAAGGCTCAGAGCAGATCTCATCAGTGCATATTAATACCTGAAGGGAGTGGGTAAAGACAGAACTAGACTCTTTTCATCAATGCATAATGACAAGTCCAGAGGCAGTGAGCATAAACTGAAACAACAGAGCTTTCCTCTGAACATCAAGAAACACTTTCACCATGAGGGTGACTGAGCACGGGCACAGGTTGCCAAAAGAGGTGGTGGAGTCTCCCTCCTTGGAGATACTCAAAAGCCATCTAGACGTGGTCCTGGGCGACCAGATCTATGTGGTCTGGCTTTGGAAGGAAGTTGGACTAGATGACCTGCAGAGATCCTGTCCAACCTCAGCTGTTCTGTGATTAATAATGTAATAATAAAGATCTCCTAGTTTGGATAGAAGACTGAGATGGGGTACGAGTGTGGATTATATAATTCTGTGGGTGGATAAGATCAGTGCATACCCTTTGTTCACTAAATCCTACTAATTCTTACAAGAATTGGAGGGCACTCTGGTACTAGTAAGAGTAAGTATAAAATAAATAAAAATGGGTAAATCAAATCAAACAGGGGAACTACTGAATGACCGCAGCTACTTAATTACATAAGGTTTTTTGAGTGCTCTTGAATTGGGATTCTTCTGTAATTTTTTCTTAGGTTTGTACTTTTTAAAATAAAGACTGGGCTGCTTTCCAGTGTTAATGAGCCATGTACTAGCACACTATAGCCACTGCGAAGAATTTGAATTATTTAGGAAGAAAAAACACCTTAGTTGAGACTTGGTGGCATGATTAGGGAGTTTCCTTGTATTTCTTCTTTCATTGTCATTACTGTTATATGGAAAAATGGACAGAAAAATAGCTGTGCACTAGCAGTTTGTTGGTGAAACTTGTCTGGTTTTTCTCAGACTGCTTACCTGAGCAGGAGGTGGAAGGGGCCTTGAATCCAGGGAATTAGGATGGTTACTAGTTTAAATTTGGGAAACTGGACATTGGTAGTTGCTTGGCACAGTAGAATCGTGCAAATTCTATTTGTCACATTGGACCACGCTGACGAGGTTATGATTCTTAATGCCTGTTTTGATAATGGAGGAACTAGATGTACATTTCTCACAGAAGAACTGTTTCAAACATGTCATTTGTTAATAAAATAGAACATAAAACTCTAGGGGGTTAAGTGAATTATTATAGAATTGAGTATACCTGTCTAAAAGGCAAATAGATTTTTGTGTGTTTACAAAGAGATAGAAAATTAATTCTGTAATTGCCACTGTTGAAATGAGTAACTGTTAAATATTTCCATTTAAATTTAGTAACTTTCTGCATTGCTCTACCAAATGGATTTTAATTAAATTTGTTCATTTTCTCAGTGAGAACTACTTGAACTTGTCAGATTTCTCGGATTTAGCAGATGGTTCTTTTTCCCAAATAACTGGAAAAAGGCAGATTCTGAATACTGCTTATACAGAGGATACTCACATACTCATGTACTTTGAATGTTAATGGTCTTAAACATACCGGTCCTGACCTTGATGAGCTGCAAACTGGTTTCATTGAACTTGTGTTTTCATTAAATGCTTAATGAAATATACTAAGTAGATGTAATTCTGAGACTGATGTCTCGCTGTGACCAATTGAATTATTACTGCCGCGTACCTCTGAGGATCAAGCCTGAAAAATGTAGGACTAGAAGACAGAAAATGGGACTTGGAAAAGGTATCAGCTCTTGCAAGAAGTGTGGTGTAGCATTGCCAAGCTGCCTTAGCACAGCAGTAAGTAATAATGTCAGTACTGAAGTGGTTTAATCTGTAATCACCTGATATGGTATAATTTTCAGTCTGATAACATTCTGTTCATCCTTCCTACTCAGTCAGTTGGTAGTTTCTTCAAAGAAGGAAACATGTTTTATTCTCTACGTTCTTAGTATAATTATGATAAGGAATAGTAAATAGATAATGCCTGAGCTGGTATTGATTATTAACATGGGAGATTTAGGACCAAATAAGATAAAGATGTGTTTTAACTTTCCTGAGTATGACTCATAGGTGTAAATGTATATTCAGACTGATTTTTTGAATTTCTTTGTTATTTCCTAAAAAGAGTCAGTCGTCTTAATTATGTGGATTCGGTAATCTAACAGATAGATTTGGTAATTTGCATTTGTTTCTCACCATATATAAATATCTAAACAGCACAGCCTAATGGAGTGATCTTTAGAAATGTAGCTTACATGTGCAGGCATAAGTTCTTTAATATTTCTTTTTATTTCCTATAACTCAGGTATTTTACTTTTTAAAGGGACTTCAGTCAGGAGAAATTTAAACAATGAATTGTTAACTATTTTTAAAACTGGGGAAAATATATTATCAATAACGTAGTACATTTCTAGTCACTAATCTTATTCACAGGTGTAATTGTTTAAGGTTGCCTGTCCAACTTTTATAATTGTTTTTATTAACTAACATTAGTTCAGTAGCTTCCAGAGTCAATGATTTTTAAAACTGAGTCTTAAAGAGAATGGAAGTCTTTTTGTAATGTTACCTACTGAGCATGCATTCATTAGATAATTTTTCTGACTTAAATTAAAAGGCGAATTCATAACTGGTTGCTTATGATGAAGTAATTTTCAATAAGCTTCTAAAGCATGAGTAAAAGGTATTTTCTTCTCCCCTTCCTCTGCAGTGTTCAGTGTGGACTGCAGCACAGTCGAATGTCCTCCTGTTCAACAAGTTGTTTGCCCACTGGATAGCTATGAAACCCAAGTCAGACTGACAGCTGATGGCTGCTGCACCCTGCCCACAAGGTTGGTGTCTTGATGGCTAAGTATTTTCAACTACTTCTCTACAATTCAAGTACTATAAATACAGGATAATAATGCATACTTCTGTGACAATAAACGTTAATACAGAATAAAAAATATATGGAGTAAAGGTATTTCAGGCTTATAGAAATATGAAATCTTTTTGAAGCTGAAAAAAATTTTCCATGAAATGCACGAAGCTGATTTTTGTTAAAATTAATTGAGAGGTTTGTGACTCTAGATTGGTTTTCAATGTATTCACTTAATTTTACAAAAGTTAATTATTTTGGAAGCCTTTGAAGGTCTTTGATGGTAAGGAATTAAATGATAAAGATGGCAGAAGATATGCCAGAGAAAAATCTCGCCTCATTGAAGAAAAAATTATTTTTTTGTATGTGGAAGACCACTGTAAGAAGCTGAAAGATGGTGGCTACCTGGAACTGTATGGAAACAGCATTTCAAGTACTGTTTCCATTTTACTTCTGTTGTTCAAGTAGGCATAATTTATTACAATTTAGAAAAACAAGATGATTTGGAGTTGGTTTTGTTCCAAAATTCTGCACCACTGTTTCAGCCTCTGTTTTAACTACAGACTTCCCAAAGCCTGATTCAGCAATATGCCCAATAAATACAAATTCCAGCAAAAAGTACCATCAATGAAAATGTTTTACACAAAATAGAAAAATATCTCTTGTTGATGTAACTAATCAGTTTTTCTGGTAGTAAGGTCTTTGCGACATACAATATTGCCATATTCTCAACCCCTTGTGAGACTCTAAAGGAGTGATAAATTTGTAAAGAATTCAGAAAGTAGAAAATGGCAAAGGTTATGCGATGAATCAAGGATCTTCCCTGTTGGGTACCCTTTGCTACACGTTTAATATGGTGACTTCTTTGAAACTGTTGTTCCCATGAATATGCATGGAGGGTTAAAAATGGATCTATTTTTTAAAAAATTAAGGCAGGAAAAGAGACTTGGAGAACTTTATATAATGCAGTACTCCTGTCTATTAAAATTTGAAAATATATTTCTAAACTTGACAAATTTTATTTGTAGTTGTAGAATACACATAGTAGTCTATTTTAAAAATATTTACTATCCTTATTCAGTGAATGCTACAAATAATCTTTTATTTAGTTATTGTTTTCTTTTTTGGGTTTTCTGAATTTTAGACTGGAACATGATATGGGTTCTCAGTATCATCCCTTTATTCTTTAACATTCTCATTAACTTTCCTAAGAATTACAGTAACTTCATGTTAGTTGACCTGACTAGTTGGAATTGCACAGGAGGCTGTAGATTTTAAGAGGTTATCATACTGGCATTGCTGCCCATACAGCTCATCATGTTCAAGACAACTAGAATAAAACACTGCTAAGGACTGTATTCAGAAAGATAGATTATAAAGTCAAAGAAGCAATCTCAGATTAAAATTTTATAAATTACTAGTTTAAGTTAACACTTAGAAACCTTGACACAATACAAATCTTTGGTTAATGGTAGATTTTTACTTCAAAATTTGTTTCAATTTGCTGGATTAAAAACTGATATATAGACCAATTTTTATTTCCCAAAAGTAAAGTTGTGTTCTACTTTTCTGCAGTCTAGTACAAGTTGTGGTTTGATTTTTTTTTTTTTTTTCTTCTATTGCTTGGGTGGAAGGAATGAAAAATACCTACTTTATTCTTTGTAGATGATAATTTCAGTGTTCCTTCTATCAGGGAACAGAGTCCCAAGAAAATAAAACTTCATTTCCTTCAGAAAAATGACCAGTTGGAAATATTTTCTATTTCCAGCACACACATGGGAACTGATCTTAAATAAAACACCTAGAGCAAACATGTCCTTGAAAGAATCTTTTTCTTTCTTTGATAATATTTAAAAATATAACCACTTGATTTGCTGTGTGTTCACTGTAACTGATGTCTGAAGTGTACTTGTACACGTGCATGGTACTTAACTGCCAAAACCAGAATTCTCATCTCCTGTGCACAAAGACACCAATTGTACAAGCAGGCTTAGAGTATGTGAATTATTAGATAAATGTGGATTGCACTGAAACCTCTTGGAAATCAGATTGCTGTGCATTACTGGGATCAGAGTTCAACAAGGGATCAGAACCTGGGATAGATGAGTTATTAGCTTCTGGAGTCTTATGATTGGGTTGGAGGGGCTATTTGTTAATACCTCTGTCCTCCTTGATGTGTAAAACTGCAAAAAACTACAATTAGCATCACCTAGTCTGTCTGCAGGCAGGTTGAAACAATTCTAGGTGTCTTACACTCCTCCATTAATTTTTTAATTTTGTGGCTGTGTTGCTGTATGTAGTTATAGTGTGGGTTGCTACACTGATTTCCTTAATTCAGTCTAAGCAATAATGCAATTCTTAATAGAGTAGGTGAGAAAGAAAGAAGAGACAACAACAACAAGATCATAGAGATGCCTTACATGTTGTGTGCCTGCTAGAAATGTAGTTATTTAGATCTTAATATACTGGTGTTCTTCTTAAGGAAGATAGTGCCATAGTCATCATTCATGTGCTCTAACTAAAGATATCACTTGAAGGCAGGAGAAAAAAATACAGACATGGAGATAATCAGAAAAAAAAGTTTAAATGAAGGTTAGAGGGAAGAGAAGTATAGTATGAAAAGAGAGACAGCAAAAGGGGAAACTAAGTTCAGTTACTTGAAACATGAAAATCAAATCATTTGAATTCAGGTTCAAGGTTTCTTCAGATTTGAGGAAACATTTGGAGCTTTATATTTGAAGCCAGGTTCTCTATCCCATGTACGCCTGGCATTTCAAAACTGTAGAAAAAGTCAAATAAATTGCAGATTTATGGATTAATGACTCTACACTGGGAAAAGGGGATGTTTTTCCGTAATTCTGGAATTTCTAACTGAACTCGTGATGAAATATTAACATTGTTAACTGTGATTCAGGTTAGAATTGCCTAAATCCATATCATACCTCTTTTTTTTAATTGTTAGAAGTTCAAAGAAGTGGCACTGTATGTTGTAATGTACATTTGAGAATAATTTATTAAAAGCAAGGAAATAGTGTTTCATAAGGTCATAGTCTTTAGACTACATGGAACTATTTTTGTTAAGATTATGAACTCTTTCAATAAATCAGAATTATTTGTTTCATTTACTGCCACTAAAATAAAGTCTTAATACCATCAGAAATAGAGAGCAGTCAAGGAGAGTATCATGGCTAAGGATGAATGGCTTGTCACTGACTCAACAAGTAGCTGACAAGTTCAGGTACAAGCAGGAGCAGATTGACTTCTGTCCCACATTTTGTTCTTTGCTGGTTTCTTCTACGTAATTCGCTAAGAAAACAGAGCTCTTTAAATCTGGTGTTAAGTTTGCATTTGTTTTATGAGTGAGCTCTTGAATGAATATTCATAATATTGAAAACTCCTCTAGCAATTCCAGGAGAAAATTTGGAATAGTAAACAAACATCTGATGCTGTTAAGTTCTTGTATTCAGAGATTCATTTAGTTTCACACTGATTTCTAATGCGATGGTTCAAACACAACAGCTTACTGATTTGGCATTGATATCGGAATAGCAGTGGCTTCAACTTTCATCAGACTGTCATGAGACACCTTAAATTTCCAGCTATTATGTTAAAAAAGCTAAATGATATGTCTGTCTCTGGTGTTGGTAAAGATGCTCTCTTCTCCAAGGAGCTTATCAAATAAAAACATTAGAGCTCCTACAGAGCACATGTTATCACAGTTTTGTTAATGTAAGTTTGTCTTCTATTACAAAATTAATTGAAGTGTATCAGTATGAAGTGTACAGAATCCGTTGTCTTCAGATGTTTCCAATTTTTCTATTGTGAATTCATTTCCTTCAAATTTTCAGGTTCCTTTGAGAATTTATTTGTAAGTGTAAAAATCTATCGAAATCCATTTAATTTCTTACCTATGAAGAATGGATTGTAGCAACAGGAGCTGATTTCAGTGATTAGTGTTGGCTTAATCTTTATTGCTCATGTGGTTTTGTACATTTTTCATAGGATTATATACAACGGAGTAAATTACATGTTTGGACAGCTTTGCACCAAATATTTGTGGATTATATTTTTTTGTCTTTCTGACTGCTCTCTTTATTAGAATAATAAGGAAGTTCAGTCTTCACTAGTTCTCTGCTTCTTGCTCTAGTTTTATCCCCCTGCTCGAGTCCTCTTTTCCCTTCATGTGATCTAAGTATAGTCTCTTCCCTTGCACCAGTTTCTATTCTCCCTGCTGTTGCCTGTTAAAAATCTCATAACTTCAAGATTCGTTCAGTGTTCTGTTACCTCAGAGATATCTTCTTCCCTCCCCCCCCCAGGTATTCATGATCACACTGTTAATAAAAACAGATAAACCAAGAAAATTGTAGAGAACGAGAAAGATGTTAGTACTGTGTCAACATTAAAAAGAACAAAACCTAAGAAATTAGTCTGGTTATCTTGATATCAGTTCTGAGAGAAATAGTGGGAAAACTGATAGAGGATTGAATTGAGGATTAAAGTCTGTAATTATAGATAAAAGCAACCAGTGTTGCTTTGACACGCACAGTTTCATGAAACTTAATTTTGTCTTTTGAAGATACTAAACTTGCCTTCAAAATCTGACCATTAGAGTGTTTCTAGTCTCAATTTCTGGCTTCTGTAGTCACCAGTCCTTTTCCTTGTATTGGATTCTAGGGGGAAAAAAAAAAACAAAAAACAAAAAACAAAACAAAAAAAAAAGCACAAACAAACAAAAAAACCCACAAACAAACAGCAAACCCACAAAACAAATAAACCCCAAAGAAACATACCAAAACAAACTAGGACTTTTTAACTAATATTGTCTCACAGGGTTTACTTTATAAAATGGAAATACATCTGTATGTTCATTAAATCACAATAATAACTTTGCTTGACATACTTATTTAAAAAGCGCACACTGTAAGCCTGAATATGTTCTAGATTAAAAAACACTCAGAAATAATTGATATATGT